TCTCTCTCTCTCTCTCTCTCTCTCTCTCTCTCTCCTCTCTCTCTTCTCTCTCTCTCTCTCACACACACACACACACCAATCAAATAAAGCAGCATCCCCCAGCATGGGCAACTCTTTGCACGCAGGCACGGCGTGATGTGTAAAAATGATCAAACCTGTCTAAGTTAAATAAGGGAAGGTGCGTTTAGAGCAAAGCTCCTTTGGACAAGTGGTTCAATAACTAGTTTACTGGGACCAAAGCCCATGGCTAATGAGAGAATAAAGAATTATTCTTGTCAAGTGGGATAAAGCCGGTGCCCCCAGTTTGGTGCTAAATAATTACATTCATTACGTTTCAAGCAGCCCTGCCAGTGGTCTTCTGCACTAGTAAATTCATTAACCAAGCTAATAGGCAACCTTCTACAGGGGTAAATTTAAACGATTCCAGGAGAAGGGAGAGCAAAAAAGAAAGAAACGGCAGCATAGAACCGGGACAGCCACCGCCAGTTTGCAGGATAATTGAATTTATTGTCTCATCAGTTTTAAGGGCTTCCTTCTCCTGGGCCTGAAACAAGAAGAAGGGAAGCCAAAGGACATTTCGACAATTAGATTTCTGGTTATTTCTCTGCACTTTTCTCAAGCTACCTATCCCGAATGGTGAGAGGATGATGAAGGCTGTCAAAAGCACAAATGTTGCAAAGAATCAAACATACCGTGTGTGTGTGTGATTTGCCAAACATGTTAAATTAATCTCCATTGGTGACACAAAGTTAGCCACGAAGGGACATCTTCGAACCAGAGAGCTAATTATGGAAGGGAAGAGAATGGTAGAAACAAATCCAGGGACAGAACCCATAAATTCTGTTAGCCTGGCTCTTAAAAGCTCACCTTTCATTTGTTGCTTTAAGGACAAACCCTCCGTCCACCCCACCCCACCCCAACTCTACTATACCCTCTTGGTTAATGGGCATTTTATGATCTTCATGTTTTCTATCAAAAGTTCTGGTTCTCTGAAAGTTGATATAAAAGAGCCTCTTAAGGGAAAAGAATTTCAGTCCTCTATGCTGGGATTATGTCAAATTTGTCAATCTTTTTTTAAAAAATAGCAATATAAAAATATTCTGAGTCAGAAATACAATAGACCAGGAGATTCTGCATTATTATTGCCGCTATTATCATTTACACTGGGAATACAAACTCTAATAGCAATAGCAATAGCAGTTAGACTTATATACNCTGGGAGAGGAGGGCAGAAATGAGGAGTGGAAAGGGGAGAGAGGAGAAGGAGAGAGGAAGGGGAAGTAGAGAAGAGAAGGATGACAGAGGGAAGAAAGGAGGTAGGGAGGGGGAGGAGAGAGGGAGAAGAAAGTGATGGATAAGGTACAAATATGGTGTATTGGAGAGCAGAAGAGGCAATAATTTTGGGGGGTAGTTTATTGTGAGATGAATTGATGTAAACATTTAATAATACAATATGATGTTGGCTATGTAATAGTAACCAGGTGGTTATATGTTATGAAAATGAAAAAAATAAATAAAAAGCTTTATTAAAAATAAATAAATAAAATTTCAGCAACGGGTTTTCTGCTTGGTTGCTGGGTGGGCGTGGCTACGGTGGGCATGGCCTAGTCAGCCTCCTGCACTATGGCAGGGGGGGGGGCTGTTTTCCCCTTCCCAAGGCTCCGGAGGCTTTCCTTAAGCCTCTGGGAGGGTGAAAACTTCCTCCCTTTTTCCTCCCCCCCTGAGCCTCCGTTGGGCCTTGCATCCAAAATGGGCTGCATGGAGATTCTTGGGAGGGGCATGGTGGGGGTGGCAGTGGCAGAGTATGGTGGGTGGGGCCAGCCAGAGGTGGGATTTAGAGGTTCTCTGAACCGACCATAACGTTAGCTACAGGTTCTCGCGAACCCAGGTGAATCTCTAGCAGCTCAATCCTGCAGTTTCATTGTTCTTTCAGTTTTCTGCCTGTTGTGAAAATTCATTCTGATGATCAAGTGAATGAATGAAGGCCAGCATGTAAACAACATGGCACTGTTTATATTCTTCTGAAATCAAGAGTCTTTTGGAATTACAAATAGCACCATAAATACAGTATAACATAAATAGGTGACCGGTAATCATTGTATTGCAATAACATAGTCAATTTTATTGGCAGTAGCCAGTTGCAAATTCAGCTGAAAATGTATTAATCATGAAAAGAAGCAGCAACATAATTTTTTTTAATGTCATATGGCTAATTTCAATCCAATATATAAAACTAAACGAGGATTTAAGATTTGGTTATTGGACTTTGTAACAGCAACACTTGGCAAGCTAGGAGAGAAATGAATAATCTCCCAGCACTTCACAAGAATATATTTTGGTGCCACATCACTTCCCATAAAAACGCAGTGATTGCTAGAACCAGAAAAAAAATATGGCAGACTAATTGGGGTACCATCACTAACTTCTCTCTCTTTTTCTTTATTTAAATAGGCTGCTTATATTTTAAGAATACAGTGAAATGGTTACTCTGCAAACAGAATATTGTGATTCATTCAACAGCTTCGGCCATGAGTTTGAAGCTGTTTCTCAAATGACAGCTATGACACTGGGGCAAAAGTCAACACAATCTTTCAGTTCTCTTTTCCAACAAGTGAAAAGTGAAATTTGGAAAAGTAGGAAATATTTCCAGGAAAAGCGAAAATTCCAAAATTTTCTCCAGGAGTAGGAATTAAAAAAAGCTGGGAAAGGCATTCTCTGATTGGAAGCCTCAGCTGTCACTCATAAACACTATTCTTTCTCCTTAATATTTTCATTTCACAGGGATCTTCTCTTTGAAATGTACACATTAGAGGGGGTGTTCTGCCAGTTCTGACTGGATCGCCTGAACCAATAGAGGAAATCGCAGATGGCTCCACCCACTCATGCCCGGTTCTACAGCATCCGCACATGCGCTTTTCACCAAAAGCGCATGTGCGGAGGGATTGCGTGTACTCACATCTGCGAACCAGTAGGGAAGATAAGTGTATACAACCCCTGGTACAAATCAGTGGTGGGATTCAAATAATTTAACAACTGGTTGTCTGCCCTAATGACCATCCGGGTGGGTGGGGCTCGGTGGTCATGTGACTGGGTGGGCGTGGCCAACTCAAGGTCACTCACGTCGATGGGCGCTTCGCCTTAGCTGTTACAATGTAATAAGAGTTAACTGGAGAGGCAGTTTCTGTAAGCAGGTCAATAAAGATTAGGCTAGAAACAACACCAGAATGTTTCCTTCCTGCCTTCCTTACAGGATTAGCCCTGNACTGCACCCTAACCACTGTGCCACCTCGGCTCTTCTATGCGGTTCTATAGAGCCTATAGGCTGTTTAGTCCATAGAGCCCTGGTGGGGTAGTGGTTAGAATGCAATATTGCAGGCTAACTCTGCCCACAGCCTGAAGTTCGATCCTGACCAGTTCATTGGAGCGGTGGGATTCACTTACCTTTCCTACCAGTTGGGTGGAGTCTCCCACAGCCTTCCCTACCGGTTCGCTCGAACCGGAGAGAACCGGCTGAATACTACCTCTGGTTCAAGGTTAACTCAGCCTTCCACCCTTCCAAGGTCAGTGAAATGATGACCCAGATTGTTGGGGACAATAAGCTGACTTTGTAAACCACTTAGAGAGTGCTGTAAAAAACAATATAGCAGTAGTATAAGCCTAAGTGCTATTGCTGTTTCGCATTCTAGATGAAAGCTGGGGGTAGGGGGAAGATATGTTACCCACATACAGTATAGAACTGAAGTCTGTATGGGAATATTTACATATACCTTCTTAATGCCAAGATAAATGGGAATGAATTAATTCCGGTGCTGATCCTGCAGTCAATAATTCCATTTCTAACATACAGAGGAGAAAGGGGGGGGGGGGGGGGGGAGAATAAGTAGTGAAAGGACAGCAGAAAGGTCAGTTCAGCTATGAATATCATAGGGAATTATATCAGAGGCCGTTCACATGTAAGAAGCTCACCGCTGGGGGAAGAAGTTGAAAGAAGGCCCAGGAGCGATGCCCTTTGGCTTTATTTCATCCTGATCTTTTCCAGAAGAGATTTAGTCAGTGAAATAACCCGCGATAGCATCCTAGTCAAAGGATGTTCTATTGAACACAAGAGCACCAGATAGAGAGCTGAAATCTTGGCTTTTTTTCTATGTCCTAAACTGCTGAAAGGTTTTGCAATGAGCTATTGAACAGCGTTACGTGATATTTTTATAAGAGGTGAAGGTTTCTGAGGCAGGGCACATGTTCTAAAGATGTTAGTTTAAGGACACTGACTTTGGAATAATTACTATTTTATTACTTTGCAAGCATCCCCTGGTTTTTTNTAGAAATAGAATAGAGTAGAGTAGAATAGGAATAGAATAGAATAGAATAGAAAAATGGGATGGAATGGAATAGAGTAGAATAGAATAGAATAGAATAGAACAGAACAGAACAGAACAGAACAGAACAGAAAAAATGGTACGGAGTAGAGTAGAGTAGAGTAAACTTTAAAATAAACTTTATTGGCCAAGTGGGATTGGATACACAAGGAATTTGTCTCCAAGCTTTGCTGAGCAGCATCAAAACGAGAATAATTGATGCTCAAACTAACTGTCCCTACGGAACAGTTATGAACGGTGGACTCTCCTTCATTGAAGGTGTTCAAACTAGGGCTGGAAAGCCACCTGTTGGTGATCCTCTAATAGTCAATCCCAGCCCTGGATACGATGAGATGTTCTCCCGGATCCTTCTAAACTTTACATTCTAAGATTCTGCGCGTAAGAATGGATCCAGGCGGGCTCTAGCCATCCTTTGCAGCTGCTTCTTCAGAAGCTGCTCCTTCTTCTACCGCCTCATGTTTCTCAAGAGCTTGGCCCTCTTAACGCACAAAGGGCATTTTCTTTTTCAGATGAAGCTTGCCAGGGGGACAAGTCGATCTTCTGCCAGATGGAAGTGCTCGCTCGCTACTGCTCCATCCCGGGCTACAAAAAGCTGTGTTGTGAATCCTGCGGCAAACGTAGCGGCAACCTCCCTCTGGCTTTCTACAGCGAAGCCGCCGAAACCGAAGAAGGTTTCATCACCAGCCCCGCTGTCCTTCCCAAGTCTTCGGCCGCCACGACTTCTTTAGCCCCTCCTCGCCCCGAGCGACAAAGCGCTCCGGGCAGGATGTCCTTGGCGGAAGACCACACCCAAGTCCTCCTCCCTCCGATCTACAGGAAGGCCCAAGCGGCTCATAATCCCTCTCATCGGAAATTTCGGAACCAAGCCAGTAACAAGGCGCCTGGACCACCTGCCCTGCACCAGAACCTTTCCACCAACAATGGGCTTCACCGTTCCTCACCTTTGTTTGACACCGGGCCGGTGGCGGCGCATCGTCCTGGCTCGGTGGACATTCATTCTTCTTCCAGAACCCCACGGAGAAATGAAAAGCAAGCCGAGAGACAGCCACCCTTAAGATCTCCCACTATAGGAAGATGAAAAGTTTAGGGAGTTTTTTAATTTTAAGGCGGGGAGCTCATGGGAGCGGAGAGAGGGAACTTCCTCGCTTTGTCCGAGACGCCGTGCAAAACCTTCAAACCCCAAGACTCAACCTAAGTCAACAACTGAAAAAAAAAAAAGAGAAAAGTGCAGGTTCACTTTGCAGATGCTTCTAGCCGTGTCCTAACTTCCTCCGTGTCCAGCTCTCTTCCCCAAATCTGGCTCTCTTGAAATCTTCAGAAATCGTGAAATCAACAAAAACCTCGTCGATTTCTGTCGTTCAAAACAAAGAAAGAAAGAACCCAAAATCTACCTTGTTTTCCTGAAAATAAGACCTCCCCGGATAATACTGTGTTTCCTTGAAAATAAGACAGGGTCTTATTGAGCCGAGGTGGCGCAGTGGTGAGAGTGCAGTACTGCAGGCCACTTCAGCTGACTGCTATCTGCAGTT